TCCTGGGTTCAGGCAATTCTCCTGCCTCAGCCTCCTGAGTCGCTGGGATTACAGGCACGCGCCACCATGCCCAGCTAATTTTTTGTATTTTTAGTAGAGATGGGGTTTCACTATGTTGACCAGGATGGTCTCGATGTCTTGACCTCGTGATCCACCCGCCTCGGCCTCCCAAAGTGCTGGGATTACAGGCTTGAGCCACCACGCCCGGCTAAGTTTTTTCTTTAAAGACAGGGTGGTGTTCTGTCACCCAGCCTGGAGTGCAGTGGTGTGATCACAGCTCGCTGCAGCCTCTGCCTCCTGAGCTTGAGCGATCCTCCTACCTCAGCCTCCTGAGTAGCTGGGACTGCAGGTGCACACCACCACTCCTGGCTAATTTTTGTAGAGACAGGGTCTTGTCAACTTGGCCCAGCTGGTCTTGAACTGGGCTCAAGCTGTCCCCCTGCCTCAGCCTCCTGAAGCTCCAGGATTACAGGCGTGAGTCACCACGCCCAGCCTCCACCTTCCGATGCCATCACATGCCTGCTCCCACCTGCCCTGCTCCCACACACAACCCATCCCTGTATCCACACGCCCTGACCTGCCTGTGCACAGCCACCTGCCCACACCTGTCCCCGTCCTCCCTCACACACGCATCCCCACACGTCCTGTTCATACTGCACACTTGGTGGGGACAGGTGCCTGTTCTGCCCGCCCCACTCTGTGCACCTGTCCCCATCTGTTTTGTGCGGGCTCCCACCTGCTGAACCTGCCCACCTGGAGGTCCTGCCCACCTTTCCCAGGACCCCACTCACATGACACAGCCCAGAGCCCAGATGTCCGACTGGCAGGAGTGCCCGTTTCTGGATACAACCTCTGGGGCCAGGAAGTTAGGGGTCCCACAGAGCACCCTAGGAGGGACATCGTGGGGGGCTCAGGAAGGCCGGGATCCACATGCCAGACTTCAGGGCCAGCCGTGCCCACCCGGACAGACTGCTCAGAGCCCCCTGCTCTCACCCGTGGCAGCGGCCCCCTGGCCCCACCTTGGCAGCCAGCCCCAGGTCTCCGATCTTCACCTCCATGTTCTTGTTAAGGAGGAAGTTACCTGCCAGGGGGAGGGGCAGCGTGCATGGGGGCGGATCTGCGCCCACCTCCTGACGCCCCTGCCCACAGGTCCCCTTCCGGGCACTCACTGGGCTTCAGGTCTCGGTGCACGATGCGTCGCTGGTGCAGGTAGCGCAGGCCGCTGACCAGGCCCCGTAGGTAGTAGCGCACCTCCGGCTCTGTCAGTGTCTGCCGCGCCCTCAGCACGTGGGCCAAAGACTGCAGGTGGCAGTCCCGGTGCCCAGTGGCCCCGCGTTAGAAGGCAAAGGTAAGCTCAACCTGGCCAAGGTGGCATGGCTGATTATGGCATGAGCACAGGTGAGTTCAGACGAACCCCAATAGGAGCCCAGGTGGCCACTGAGGGAGGCACCTTTCCCCACGGGCACAGCCACCTGGCTCCGGTCCCGCATGTGGCACCGCCTTGAGGGTGAACACGGCACTGGTCGGCGTGCCCGTCAGTTTGGGAAGGGCCACATGATCAGCAGGGAAAATGGGGCACATTCTGGCCCAGGTGGGCCCAGGTGCGCTCAGGTATCATGAAGAGGGCACGGTGAGTTCAAGGCGGTGTATGAAGGCATGACTGGTTTCAACCAGGCCAAGGTGGGTACAGCTGAGTGCAGGAGGGGCACAGGTGACCACAGGTAGGCACAGGGGCATGCTGGGGGATACAGGTGGGCATGGGTGAGTCCAAGGGGGGCAAGAAGAAGCAAATACATTCTGATAGGCCCAGGCAGTCATGGGTGAGTCCAAGATGGGCCTGATGAGCACGGCATAAGCGGGGCCCAGGTGTGCCCAGGTGAGTAAAAGTTGGGCACAACTAGCCCTAAATGGGCATGGGAAGCGCTGGTGACTGGGCGCCAGCAGAGGGCACACGGGGTGGTACAGAGGGTAGCAGCAAGGTGCAGATGGACCCGGGGTGGACGCAGGTGGGCACAGCTGACATGAATGCCGCCCTCTCCCCGCCCCCGGGCACCTGGCGGCTGCAGTATTCCAGCACCATGTACACGTGGTCGTGGTCAGCAAAGTGTCCGTGGAAAGCCACGATGTTGCGGTGTCGCAGGTGGCTGTGCAGGGCAATCTCACGCTCCACCTGCAGGCACGGCCCCAACATGTGCCCACTGCAGGGGGGCACCAGCTGCAGGAGGCTCCCTTGCCGCGTGTACCCTCACCTAGGTCTGGGACAAAAGGGCAGGGGCTTTGTCAAGACACGCTGTGGGGTGCGGGCCTGGCTCTGATGGGGACACGCACCTTTCCCCGTGGGCGAAGCCGACCGGCCCCGGCCCCGCCACGTGGCACCACCTTGAGGGCGAACACAGCGCTGGTGGACATGTCGGTCAGTTTGTAGCAGCGGCTGAAGGCGCCCTGTGGGGAGGGTCAGCCGGATCAGCAGGCAGGGGTGCACGTCTGTGCAAGCTGGCAGTGTGTACGGAGGCACAGGCAGCCAGGGATGCAGCTGTAGCCAGGTCTTTTCTCACACACACACACACACACACACACACACGCACACACAGACACACAGACATACACAGACACACACACACAGACATATAGACACACTGGACAAAACATGACTTCCACCCTCCCTCCTGGACACACAAGACATGACACAAGAAGGCACAGAGACACAGACACATCCACGCCTGGTGCATACACGCCACAGACCACAGGACAGCGTCGGATGTGTAACGTCATGTCTGAAGGAGACACACAAACACATAAAACCCATATGCACTATCACCATACATGGACACAACACGACACCCAGACACACAACACAGCAACACAGAAACATATGAACACAACACCCAGACACACAGTCACCATGGATGGTCACACGACACCCAATATACAAACACATGAACACACAACACCCAGACACACAACACAACGACCGGACACACAAAGGCACGACGCACAAACACAACAGGTGAACAAGCAACACAATAGCCAGACACAGCGCAGGAACACACAAATATATGAACACACAACGCTCAGACATACAGTCACCATGCATGGACACACAACACCCAGACACACAACGCAGCAACACACAAACACCAGGACACAACATCCAGACCCACAGTCACCATGGATGGTCATACAACACCCAGACACACAAGGCAACGACTGGACACACAAAGGCACGATGCACAAACACAACAGGTGAACAGCAACACAGCACCCGGACACACAGACACACGGCCACACACACGAACGCCCCACGGCACCCAGAGGCTTGGACGCGGGGGACACAGACGCGCCACACTCACACTCGCACCGAGAGGCCGAGCCGCACGCCGACACCCCGGACACGCAACCCACGGGCACGCCGCACAACGCGCCAAACGCGGTTCCCGCCACGCGAAACCCCGCACGGGAGGCCTCGCAGGGACGTGCCGCGCACACCGCGCGGTATCGCCCGCGCCCCCCGGGACCCCAGCCCAGCCCGGCCCGGCCCCGCTCTCCCGCGGACTCCGGGCGCGGGGCCCCCACCGTGCCGATCAGCTTCCCGCGCCTGTACACGCGGCCCGAGCCCGGGTCTCGCAGGAAGGCGGCGACCAGGGGGCGGCTCCTGCGCCGCCGCGGACCCTGCTCCATCGCGCGGGCTCTGGGGCAGCCGGGCCGGGACCGCCGCTCCGGGGCCGCTCTGGGGGCGCGCGTCGCTCGCGCGCGTCTTATTGGCCACGGGGTGGGGAGGGGGCGGAGCCCGGACGCGGGGGCGCGTCTTATTGGCCACGAGGTGGGGAGGGGGCGGAGCTCGGGCGCGGGGGCGCGTCTTATTGGCCACGGGGTGGGGGGGCGGAGCCCGGGCGCGGGGCCGGGCCGCGGGAGGGGCAGGTGCCCGGCAGGTGCGCTGGGGGCGCGTGGGCGGCGGGGACGCCGTGGCTGGGGAAGTTCCAGGGACCAGAGCGCGCCCGAGCCCTGCGCGCCAACCGGGTGCCAGGGCCCGCGCTGAGCGCGTGAGCTCCTCCAACTTGCATCTCCGGGCTGGCTGGGATCCGCTGATGCGCTCGCATTACTGAGCGGGAAACTGAGGCTCTCTCGTGGGTGGGGGGTTGGGGGCTTCTGGGGTTCTCTCCCCCAAAGCGCGCTGGAGGTATGAGCCTCGTCGTTCTGAACGTGTGCCATTTCGGGGCCTCCCTGCCGGCGGGTTCCTGGGGCCCACATGAAAACGTGGGGCTTGTTCGCCTTGGGCACTGGGCAGCCACAGCAGAATTCGGAGCGGTAGAGAAGGCCAGCGTCTGTGATGCTGGCGCTGGTGGGGAGGGCGGGGAGGACTGGGGCAGGGACCCAGGAGGCAGGACCGGGGCTTGGGGACCCATGGGCTGGGGTCCGACAGGGGTAGTGGTTGTCCTGTATGGGGAGCTTCAGCTGGGAGAAGGGATGGGCTGCGTGGAGCGACAGGTGGACCCTGGGGTTTGTGACTCCTGCACCGACAGCCAGGCGGGGACGTCCTTGAAGTGGCGACCGAGGCAGCTGGGTGGGAAGACAGCGAGGGCTTGGAACCGCCCCGACCGCCCTGCCCCAGATTCAGGTGCACCCTTTCCCTGGTGAGCTCTCCCCTCACCCTTCCACCCGGCCTGGGACACAAGGACGGGCCTTGTCCCCATTGGACAGGTGAGACGTTGAGACCCAGGGACGTGAAGTCGCTCAAGTCAGCCCAGGAAAGGGCAGCGCTGGGTTTGAATCCCGGCAGCCGCTCCTGGATGCCGTGGTATTAATCCCCAAATGTTACATAACACCCCGAATGGGGAGGGATTAGCTGGGCTCTGTGGGACTGGAATTTTCCAGGGACCAGATTTCGAAATCTGGCCCGGCCACACCACTAGGGATAGGAAACACCTCCTGAGCTGTCACATGTCCACCTGGTGTCACCTACAGGGCCTGGTGCATTGGACGGGGCAGAGTTCGGGCACCTGTGCAGGGGTTCTTGTCCCAGTGCCAGGGTGGAATCTTCCTCTGTGGGGCAACCTGGCTGCCCCTGGGAAGCCCAAGTCCCCTGCTAATGAGAATCAGGTGAGGCAGCACGAGGAGGACAGCTGGGGGCCCGAGTGTCTGAGCAGTCACACGACTACCACCCTGGAATCCTCTGGGGACAGAAAGCCAGTTCCTTCTTATGTATTTATTTATTGAGACAGAGTCTTTCTCTGTCGCCCAGGCTGGAGTGCAGTGCTGTGATCTTGGCTCACTGCAACCTCCACCCCCTGGGTTCAAGTGCTTCTCCTGCCTCAGCTTCCCGAACAGCTGGGACTACAGGTATGTGCCACGACACCGGGCTATTTTTTATTTTTTGTATTTTTAATAGAGAAGGGGGTTTCACCATGTTGGTCAGGCTGGTCTTGAACTCCTGACCTCCAATGACCCGCATGCCTCGGACTCCCAAAGTGCTCGGATGACAGGCTTGAGCCACTGTGCTTGGCTTCCAGTTCCTTCTGGATAAAACCCGTCCATCCTGGCGTCAGTTCAGGCCTCTGTTAAGCACCCACCGTATATGGGCCTGGGTCAGGCTGTGCCAGCCCAAGACAGACCCAGTCCTGCCCTCATAAAAGGATCCCAGCTTAAGGGACTGCAAGAATGTCCAAGACTTAACCAAGTCGGGGTCAGGGAGAGCTCTGGAGGTGGAAGGGAGTGAGCCAGCCGTTCTGGGCAGTAACTTGTCCCTCAGGCTAGCACTGTTCTTAGCCCTGTGATACAGACGAGGAACTGAGGCTCCAGGCTCCACGCGGCCGGTGTGCCAGCGTGGGATCACGGCACGCTGCGTGTGGCTGAGCCTGGAATCTAGGTGGGCGAGATCCAGAGCTCCTGGTTCCCCCTACAATAGGTCTGTCCCTCCTCCAGGCCCCCGGCCGTCCCAGGGAGCCGTGCCAGGCAGCGCCCTCGTGCTGGGGCGGGCGTCTGAGCTTCCTCGGGAGAAAGAAATCGGAGTTCCTGGCCTGGAGCCTCACAGCCTGCCTGTCAGCTGATGCTCCTTGCACAGAGAACAGCTCACCCTCCCTCTCCCCTGGCCACCCGCTGCTTTCCCTGGCTGAGACTCTGCTTTGGAGCTGGGAAAGGCCTCCTGCTCCAAGCCTGTGCCCCTCTGAGCAGGAACCCTGTCCCCCAGCCTATGTGAGCCCCCCTAACCAGCTGGCCGTGTGTCCCCTGCCCTGCCCCAGGCTCCCTACGTACCCCAGCCTGGCCCTTGGGGAGTTTCAGGGTGCTAAGGACGAATGCCCTCCAAGACACCCCTTGGCTCTCCCTGGGGGGTCAGAGGGACTGCTGATGAGTACCAGTCTCCTTCTGGGGTGATGAAAAGGTTTTAGAATTAAATAGAATGATGGTTGCTCAATGAGTGTAGTAAATGCCACTGAATTGGGCACTTTTTAAAAGGGTAAATTTTATGTTATGTGAATTTCACCTCAAAGGCTAAAAACAAATGGGGAGAAGGATTGGCTGGGTAAGGTGACTCACACCTGTAATCCCAGCACTTTGGGAAGCCGAGGCAGGCGGATCATCTGAGGTCAGGAGTTCGAGACCAGCCTGGCCCACATGGCAAAACCCCATCTCTACTAAAAATACAAAAACTGGTTGGGCATGGAGGTGCAAGACTGTGGTCCCAGCTACTAAGGAGGCTGAGGCAGGAGAATCACTTGAACCCGGGAGGCAGAGATTGCAGTGAGCCGACCGCACTCCAACCTTGGCGACAGAGTGAGACTCCCTCTCAAAAACGAGGTTAAAAAAAAAAAGGGGACCAGGCACAGTGGCTTACACCTGTGATCCCAGCACTTTGGAGATGGAGGCAGGAGGTTTGCTTGAGCTCAGCCCTTGGAGAACAGCCTGGAAAACAGAGCAAGACCCTGTCCCTACAAAAAATTTTCTCAATTAGCTGGGCATGGTGGTGCACGCCCTGCAGCCCCAGCTTCTCAGGAGGCTGAGGTGGGAGGATTGCTTGAGCATAGTAGTCCAGGGCTGCAGTCAGCCATGATCACACCACTGCGCTCCAGCCTAGGCAACAAAGTGAGACCCTGTATCAGAAAAAAATAAAATATACTGCCAGTCACAGTGGGTCATGCCTGTAATCCCAGCACTTTGGGAGGCTGAGGCGGGTGGATCACCTGAGGTCAGGAGTTTGAGACCAGCCTGGCCAACATGGTGAAACCCCATCTCTAATAAAAATACAAAAATTCGGCCGGGCGCGGTGGCTCACGCCTGTAATCCCAGCACTTTGGGAGGCCGAGGCGGGTGGATCACGAGGTCAAGAGATCGAGGCCATCCTGGTCAA